GCATAGTTACCCAACTTGGACTTATACCACACTTTATAGCCTTGTGGTTCATACTGTATATTTGTACATAAATGGAAATAAATATATATTTCATTGTAAGAGTAGCTATGTTCCTTTCTTCCATTGCAAATTCCACATCTTCCAATTTATGCTGTTAACATTTCTAAAAATGGAAAACCAGTGTACGAGTGGAATTAGCAACTTCCCAATTTCTACTTTAGACCTCCCCTTCCTTTCTTTACTATTTTATCTATTCTATGCTATTATGAGGCATAGTTCATATCCTGAAGAAATTGGAAATAATTATTTGATTTGCCAAGTGGTAGACCTTTTTACATTTCTAGAAATATTTTCTAGACATCTCTAGATCTCTGAACTTCTGAGATCTAAATAGATTCCTTATACATGAGTATTTCAAGTTAATTCTGTATCTAAGTGGCATGCCAGGCTTCGTTGTACATAAAACTCCAAGTCTTAGAAAGTATATAAAAAGAAGCAAACTAGAAGTCATTTCAACTCTAGGCATATCAAGAATAATGGACACCTGAAAGAATCAATAATTGATCCAATCTTTTTCATCTCCTATGTTTTTACAAAAGCTAGAAGATGAAAAGAGCCATTTGCTTTGTTTCTTTTTTAAGTGTATTTCAATAAAGAGCTACAGTTAGAGAACTATTTTTCAAAGACATTTTAATGAAGGTGTCAGATAACAGATGATATATTGAAGTAATCATTAGTAAACTCTAAATTTAAGCTTAGAATTATAAAATGTTGCTTGTGGAATAGATATCTGACTTTTGCTGGAATATACTTATTCATTGACCAAGTCATGTGCCTTATCTGTAAGGAATTAACTGTAAGCAGTCATTTTCTGTGTATAAATATATGAACATTGGAACAGCTTTTACAGGGATTTAGATAATCTTAATGTAGACAAGAAATTGGTTTAGACTTAATGATACGTAGCACATTGAAAACCAGCCTGTAGTGTTACTGTATATTCCAAAGGAGTTTTAAAGTTGGAAAATAGCAGCCTATACATTAATTGCAGCACATTTACTCTATTGATCAAGAATATAATTGAGGTTGCATTCAAACCCAATGTAATAAACTCATGGAAACCTTTTGCAGATTTTTTTCACTGGTTTTATTATTGGGGCAAAATGCAGATACACAGTGAGCTTACAATCATGAGATACATGCTGAAAACCTTCTTGGTACATTTGTTTATCTAACAAAGAAAAAATGGACAGAAAAAAATGGAATATTCTGGAATAATATTGCAAGCAACTGACAATTTTCAGTCTTACTTAGGATACAGGAGTATGTGTTGTAAAGAAGCCAGTGCTGATGATTACAAGAATGTTGTTAGCGGGGAAGACGGGAACAAGATGTTGAATTGTAGTGAAAATAATCTACCCCAGTTCATCATTATCTCAGGAAAGAAAAATAATGTCTAAACCAGGCTGCTGATCAGATGGTGGTAATGTTATGACTGACAAGAGCAAGCAATTATTTGTGTGCCTTTTTTGGTTACAAAAACACTATGGATATAGGAATTTAAATAACACATTTAATCGTTAAGGAGACTATGTCATCTTACCATATGGCAGATTTATCTGGAAGTTAGAAGGTGACTTTATTTTAGAGTAAGAGAACTAAGTTAACTTTCAGCCGATGCTGTCATTTAGCCAATTCAAATATATTATTCTTAGCTCTGGAAGAAATTCAGTGGCTATTTAAAGAAATTCTGGATGGATCCTAAACTATTGCATACTTTATTCAGATAACACTTGCTGTTCAGTTACAAAACATTGATTCTGGTAATATTTTCTATCAATTTTAAAGCTGACTTTAGAAATTAACAGCGGTCTTTCTTTTCAATTCTCTTTCAAAGGACTCCGGATATGGTTGGAATTTGCAATAATACTGTATAAAATTTACAAAAAAGGATGAACAAGGGCTGGAAGATGTAAAATGTATGCCTTAGGGAGTTTTGTTTTAAAACTGCAGTGTAAAAAAAAAAATACAATGGATTAAACCTCTGTTTTGCTTCAAGCAATTGCAGAGATGACAATATTTAAGGGATGCAGTAAGGATTCTTACTGCTTGTTACAGCAAAGCAGAATGAGGTTTAGTCTGAATTGTTAAAATGTAAGCAGGGAGTCAGATAGCAAATAAATGTTTAAGCTGGGCAATCTTCCTGCATGGCAGACTATAATATTTCGGCCAATGCCTCAATCAAATCTTAATCTATAGGATGTTCTTTCTTACATTAATCCCAGTAATACAATCATACCGTGTATGAATTATAAAGGATTTGTATAGGTCATCTAATCCAAACACCCCATTCAGTGCAGGAATAGCAAAGTCCTTTTGTGATTTTTGTCCTTGAAGGACAAATCTCCCATCTTGGTGTCATTTACAAATCTTTACAGCATGCTTTCCATTCCATCTTTTAGGTCATTCATAAAGATGGCTTTGGAACAAAAGAAGCCAATAGCTCAAGTGTTGCAATAACTGTACAATGTCAAGAGATGAGAACTAAAATAAGTGTATACAGTAGATTCAGTATGCCTTCATAATCATACAACTGATGTTAGTTGTAGTCAATTTAGTGGGACTCATTCACATGATATACTACAAGCCTTGTGAAAGTATCTTTACCATTTTAGATATTTCCATGTTTAAAATTTCTCCTTAATAAGTGACTCTGTTTAATATTACAATAATCAGAATTCATTAGTTATAATTCAGACTACAGTCAGTTACAGAAAAAATCTGATATATTATTTAGTCAATTTATTAGTTATCTCAATTGCTCAATATTAGATTATAATTAGCTTCTGTGCAATGTGCAGTGCTTAGAAATTTTGCATCACTTCTGCCATTACAGAAAGAGGATTAGCCATGAATAACATCCTTATTGTTCCTTAAATGACATCTCTTAATTGCCTTGAAGCTTTGTGTTCCAAATTGGAGGTATTGAGCCTTTAATCACTGGGTTCCCCTAATTATTTTTCTTCTCTTTCTTCAAATAGCAGAGCAGCATACACCACTATTTAAAAATATATATATATCAGAAAACTATGTATTTGGGATCTTCCTCCCCCAGGCACAGAATCTATCATGGTCTGTTAAAAGAAGTTATTTAAGAAGCCACTAGTAGGCAGTGCGCCTTTCCTCTTCCTCTTGCACCTTCCTTTAGAACCGTCAAAAAGCAATAAGATGGGCTGAACACAAAAGGGGGAAATTTGCAATTACATTTGCTGAGATGTTTGCTGAAGAGGAACTATTTACAAGCAACCATTTATAACCCAAGGAAAACTTTTATGATGGCTGGGGGATGAAGCTGAATATCTGGAAGGTCACAGGTTTCTTACAATAACCAGTACGATCTTAACTGTGTGAAGGGATATCAGTAAATAACACATTGAATTTATTAGATAATTGAGTTGAATCTCAATTTCAATTTCATTTTCAGTATTCTAATATAGTATCATCCCACTACATTATTCTTCTGTGTTGTTCACTTTCCTATGATTACAAACTGTAGTAAAAATGCTAACTTGTAACTAGGGCATTAATACTTAAAATTATTATTTGGATAGCATTGGCAAGGCAACTGCTTTTTAGCCGTTACCAATTATATTTGAATTCTGATATTCTCTAAATCAATAGAAATATACAGAAAAGGAAAGGTAAGCATTGCAAACCCTTTGATTGAAATGCTTACCTGTTTAATATGACAGTATGTCAGACCCATGTAATCAGAACGACTCCATGAATAGGTGTCCAAATAGATACTTTATTGCTGATCGCCTATGTTACAAGAATCTTGCCAGACTATCTGCCTTTCCTTGGAAACAACAGATATAGACCTAAGAATTTGATTCCAGATGTTTTCTCCTCCAAACTAACTACATGTTGGAATATCTTTTTACTCTCCCCAGAGGGGCCCCCTCTCCTTCAGTCAGTGATTCCACCACACAACATTACTCCAACTTTCCATCCTGAAGACCATCAATTTATATATCATTTTGCCAAATGAAACTTAAGAATTGCATCTCTCTTGTGACATTAAACCATAATATTGAATGTGTTTTATATGTTGGTGACAAAGAAAAAATATTGGAATCACCGGGTAAGAATTTTCAAACAAAGAAATATTTGTCTGTATGCTTAAGGTTAACTTTGCATCAACCATATGCACTATATCTTTCAGTCATAATTACTTGGGCATGCAAACAAACTGAAGCAAATATTTCCTCTTCTGCTTAATAGTATTATAGAGTTGAAAGGGATCATTTATATATTGACTGATCCAAATCAAAGGATTCCTGACAAATGGCTTGCCAGCCACACCTTGGTCAAAATGAAAGGAAAGACCACTTCCTCTCTGAATGATTGACTTTACATTCACGCTGTTCTTAGTTGCAGGATTTTTTCCCCTAGCATTCAGTTGGAATCTTCTTTTCTATAACCTACCTCTGTTACTCTGTGTATTGCACTTTGTTCTGGTAGAGAATAGGCCTTGGATTGGGACACATCAAATGATACATTTAAAGTAATCAAGAGGTTTTCACAGAAGTGCAGCTTGGTCTGCATTTAATAAGGTTATTCTGAAACAGTCATGGTTGAAGGAGAAATATTTTATTATGGCTTCAATGAGAACTACGGGTTTATAGGGGCAATAAAGCTGTGAAATAGAATTGATGGTAGCAGGCAATTTTGGATATATTGCTTTCCTTGGAAATTATATGTGCATGTAGAAAATATATTTGGAATCGCAGCATTTTAAATCCCTAGCTGATCCTAACTATATCAAGTAGTCAGCAAGGTATCAATAAAATAAAATAAAAACCCATATTTGCGCACACATCCTACTGACTATATTGTTCACTGACACATTCCATTTAGTAAAATTAATTTGAAGACAGACTTCTGAGACATCTACCACAGATTCAGACAGAGAAGGCAGACTTTTTATTTTTGTGCTACACAATACTTTTTATGTTATCTGTTGTCTAGACGAAAGGCCCATTGCTAGGGGAAATACAACAGAAGGCCGAGGAATCTGAGCTGATGAAGATGGAATTCCAGATGTTGGAGACAGAGAGAGTAAGGCTGTCACTGGTGGAAGAAAAGCTCTTGGATGTTTTACAGTTGCTTCAGCAACTCCGGGATCTGGTAAGAAAAAACACACACACCAAAAAGAATGGAAGAAGCAACAAGATGCTCCTCCTCAGTATGGATGAATAACGTCTGTAGTTTTCTGCATGGTCAGAAAACTACAGACAGACTTTTTCACACTGAAATGCTGACAAAAAGCTCAATTGTAGATAGCTGACTTAGAAAAAGAAAACCTGAGCTTCCAGATGAACAATTTTCCATTAAAGATATGCAGGCTGTCTCTGCAATTTAGAGCTAGGAGAGCTTTACACTTATCTAAGGTAGCTGTTAATATTTTTTCTTTTTGAGAGCCCTTGACTTTGTGTAGAATTACTGCTTGAGCTTCAGATCCAAATCTTACCTCTGCCGTGAATTCTCTTGGTGACCTTCAGCAACTCATTCTCTTTCATATTCTGCAATGTGGAGCACAATAAAAGTATCTTTTTAATATGGGTTATTTTACAGCTACAATTACATTATATAAGGGATGAAAATGCTGCTTAGTGGTTAAATAAGATAAATGGGCAAAACAAACAGTGCAGAAGAAAAATAATCACAGAATTATTTTACACACACACACACATTTCATACCTGGTTTGAAAATTAGCTGTAAGAGACTTGGCTTTTTTCCCTTTTTCTTTAAAAAAAAACAAAAATAACTTTGCTATTAGCACTCCTAAGGGATAGGCTTGTCCAGCTTCACAAATGTAATAGAAAATGATGGTGGCATTCTACTTTCTAGTTCCAGATTTAGTTAATTTAATTCTGAGAGAGAAGTTTCCTAAATGTAGGAAAGGAACTAAATCTAGCCATGAGCAAATTTCATTCTTATCAATCTATTTATAAATAAATACAAGTCTTGGAACTTTGACAGTTTGTCACGTGAATGCCACCTTGCAATCTTTGTCGACTTCCCTGAAGCAAAATCAATGGGAAAGCCATCATGAAAGCCATCAGGCTTCGGTAAATCACACACACACACACACACACACACACACACACACACACACACACTTTATGTCCCAAGGACTCCACTACAGACTACAAGATTCCAGGGAACTGGTTCTCTGTAGTACCCTTCCAGCCAACCATCTGCATTTCATGCCACCTGCTTGTGGCATGTAAACACACACACATTAGCATCCCCACACCCCTTGCCTGGGATCCCTGCCTCTTAATGTTCTGTGTCTGGGATTAACTGTGACTGCCAGGGTTGGCACTGCGAATGGGTGCAGTCACACGATGTCATGCTTTACATAGGCATCGCTTAGCGATGGCAATCCTGTTCCAATTGCTGCTGTAACTGAAGGAGTACTGGTACATAATTCTTATATGTACTAATATGACCATTCAAGAGATGTTGTTTTAAAAAGTGCATGATCTTCAATTGATAGGGTATTGTTATAATTGGGGGGGAGGGTTTGCTTTCTTTTTTTAAAAAGAAAACATAAGTACAGTATGCAGGTAGATAAACTGATACATGAAAGAGGCATACTCATTATCCTACCAAATATGGCAGTATAAGCACACAGCTTACAATTTGGCATGATATAAACCAAGTTATGACTGTGACCTAAGTACATATCAGTACGCTTCATATAATGACTTACAAGGCAGTCTCTAGATTAGAAATCTCAGTGTAATCATGATTGAGACTTTCCAGTTGTATATGCTGATCGAACATGCTGATCAAAATGTGCCCAAATTACTAGTATTGTTCTTATCATTAGCAAGGAATGGCTGATGTGTTACAGATACAGTTGAAGCTGGTACCCTCCTTAACATCTTCTCTATCTGATTAAATATCACTCTGTGAAAACCTCAATTGGTGGCAGAGGTCAGTATCTCTGGGCCAATGTGGTGATCATCTCGCATTGTGGAAATTGTGACTTGAAAATGAGTAAATGATAAAGAACATGAATTATCAAATGAAAGAAAAAGAGATACACTGTATGTCTGTGAAACTAAGAGAAAAATGAAGGATGTAATAGAGAAGAATAAAAATAGTTTCAGTTTACGGGATGGAAAGTAAAGGGGTAAATTTAATTATGAATCCAAATGCTAAAATGTATGTCAAAAATTGAACTGGCATAATTTAGCTGTCAGGGCTCCAACAAATCCACCCTCATTCAAATCAAAAGTCTCTAGCTGCATCTCAGAGAAAAGTAAATTGGTTTATTAGAAGTTGCCATGTTGGCACGTGGCTGGGTGCAGCCAATACTAAATTGCATCATACATTTCTCCCTTGACCCTGGTCTTTCCCCCACTCCCTGGATGTGACTTTTCCAATGGGACACATCCATCTCCAAGAATCATCCATCAGGCTCTCTAATAACCTTCTTATGCTCTGACAACTTTGGGCTGCCGAGGTGATTATCTAGGCATTTCAAGAATGCCTTGTTTTCCCCCACTCCCTTTTTCTGGTAGCAAAGAAGACCAAAGCAGTATCTTTTTAGTTGACATTAAATTGTGTAGAATATGTATGAAAATGGTAGTTCATATCTTGGTGATTGTTGTGTGTCACTCTCCAAATAGTGCAGGCCATTCTGAGGATGTTTCAGAAAGCCCTCCAAAGCTTTCAAAGGCTTTGTGAAGCAATGCGAGAACACACACACTATTTGGAGGGCTGCATGTGCTATTTGGAGAATGGCGCAAGCGATCTTGAGAAGAAGGCTTGGGATGGCCCGAAGCTGCTTTGCAGTTGGGCTATGCTGGGCATTCCTCATCACCAACGGTTGGGCCTGCATAGCACAGGGCAGCCAGGGTACCATTGCTTTGGGGAACTACAGCAGTGCAGGTCTTCAAGTGACACTCCTAATTGCTGGAAGTCCAGTAGAGGCCTGGGGATGGTGGTGGGCAGCTGAGATTGTGAAAGGTCCCAAGCCTGTACTTCATACCCAACAGGAATTCCCAGTTACCATCCTAATTTGAGAGCTACCTCTACACAGAGAAAGCCATTAGATGAACATAATGAAAGGTGAACGTTGTATAAAGCAAACCCACAGTTGGTATGAAGAAATGATGGACATGATGGAAGTCAAGAAAGAAATGTAAGAAAGTGTATAATGAAGGGTGCTTTTAAAATGAACTTTAGACTAGAATAGGATAACAGAGTTGGAAGGGACCTTAGAGGTCTTCTAGTCCAACCCCCTGACTAGGCAGGAAACCCTACACCACTTCAGACAAATGATTATCCAACATCTTTTTAAAAACTTCCAATGTTGCAGCATTCACAACTTCTGGAGGCAAATTTTTCCACTGATTAATTGTTCTGTCAGGAAATTTCTCCTTAGTTCTAAGTTGCTTCTCTCCTTGATTAGTTTCCATCCATTTGTTCTTGTCCTGCCCTCATGTGCTTTGGAGAATAGCTTAACTCCCTCTTCTTTGTGGCAGCCCCTGAAATATTGGAACATAGCTTTTTTCTTATCTTGTGACTCTAATAACTTTGACTTACTCACTTACTCTGTTACTTTTCTATACTCTGCATAATATTGCTTTCCCTGAAAAGGAATAGCATGATAGATAGATACACATATATATGATAACTTTAGTATTTAAAGAATTTTTCTTGCTTGCTGTGGGGAAAAGAAAACAGATGTGTTAGAAACAAGGTATCATAAAAATAAAAAACCAGTTTACTAAATTTACCTGCACTGTATCTGTTTCTTCTCTTTTGTTTCTAAATTAAATTTAAGGCACCTTTTTATTATGGATGTAGTTACATCTAATGAGAGCTGATCTGATAGCTAAAATTAGGCTGATTTGATGTTCCAATTCTGTTAATAACTCTTATGAATATATGTAGTAGCATTCTCCTATTACATTAACTTTCTTCTATACTCGCCAGTGGTAATGCTTGCTCCTTGAGTCAGTCAGAATCTAATAAAGGGTAAGCTAATAAAGTGCCATGAGTGATTGTGATTGGCAAAAAAATATCATTACATTCTCATTTGTCCATCACCTTGTTAGAAATCATTCTTTAAGCAATCCATCAACCGATACATAACACCACAGTGAAAATATTACTCTGAGTCTTGTACTTTATTGTATATCATGGCTCTAAGTGGTAATAATACGATGACCTACCACTCCTTGGCCTGGATGTTAAGAATATCTCCTGCAGAGTTTATAACAAGATCTATATAATAATACACTCATAAAGAACATGGTAGGTTTTGTTTCAAACATGGAAGAGTGAAATAGACTAGAGCCTATGAGTTGAGCTCAATCTCACAGAGACATCTTTACTTAATTTTGAAGGTGACCAACTACTAGAGGAAAGATGAGGCTTAAATATATGTAATTAAAAATAACAGTAAAATATAAATTTAGCTTTCACGAATGGATACAATGCCTTCAATATCTAAGGGCTAGAAAATCAGACACACAGAAATCAAAACTATTTTTCAAGCATTTCTGTATCATGCACATCTCTCTGGTCTCAAAATATCTACTATATAATTTATTGACATTTACTACAACATCTTTACTGCATCTCATCCTTTCTTCCTTTCACCTCTACATGACCAATTTTTTATACTTTGCTCACATGAATGAAGACCAAGTTGTTACCTATACATTGTATTGAGCCTACACATTCTTTTTGACAGTACATAGAGCTACAAAACTGACCATCTATACAGGTTGAATAACACTATCCACCATGAAAAAGGGAAAGATGGAATACACAGAGGACATGAAAATAAAACCCAAACTGTCTTCTGTTGGGTAAACAATGTCTATCTGTCTTGTTTTGCAGCTACATACATTTTGTGTTATGACTTTATCTAGCTATCTTGTGGAATATGTTTTGCACATTCACCTTCTGTTTATATTCTATTATTCTCTTTGTCTCATATCTTATCTGATATATATTTGCACCCTTAATGTATAGAATTTCTCTTAATTGCCAACTTGTTTGTAGATCATAAAGGGCATCAAAAGTAAACCCAATGGATGCATTGGGTGTGAATTTTAGATTTTGGAAGACGATCGTTAATATTCCTGTCAAACAGACAACAAATGGTCAAAATCGGGAACGCCCTATCAAATCCAGTACCTGTCAATAGTGGTGTTCCCCAAGGCAGTGTTCTAGGACCAACTCTCTTCATAATCTACATAAACGACCTTTGTGATCATATCAAGAGCAATTGCGTTCTCTTCGCTGATGATGTAAAGCTGTTCAATACCACAGACAATACTACTACCCTTCAAAAAGACCTAGACTATGTATCTGAATGGTCTAACATATGGCAACTTCAAATCTCAACAAATAAATGCTCTGTCTTACATATTGGTAAAAAAAATCAGAAAATAAAATACAAACTGAATAGTCAAGATCTTGTTGACGACCCAAGCTCTGTAAAGGACCTGGGAATACTCACCTCTAATGATCTAAGTGCTAGAGCCCACTGCAACTACATAGCCAAAAAGGCATTAAGAGTTGTTAACCTAATCCTACGTTGCTTTTTCTCTGGTAATATCTCACTACTAACCAGACCATACAAAACATTTGCTAGACCAATACTCGAATACAGTTCATCAGTCTGGAATCCTTATTACGTATGTGATATTAGCACAATTGAGAAAGTCCAGAAGTATTTCACAAGAAGAGTTCTCCACTCTTCTACTCGTTGTAGAATACCTTATGCCACCAGACTCGAAATTCTAAAACTAGAAAACCTTGAATTACGCCGTCTTCGGTCCGACTTAAGCATGGTATATAAAATCATACATTGCAATGTCCTACCTGTCAATGAATACTTCAGCTTTAACCATAACAACACAAGAGCACACAACAGATACAAACTCAAAGTAAACCGCACCAAACTTGATTGCAGGAAATATGACTTCAGCAATAGAGTGGTCAATGTCTGGAATACTCTACCCGACTCTGTAGTCTCTTCCCCAAACCCCAAAAACTTTAACCTTAGACTGTCTACTATTGACCTCACCCCTTTCCTAAGAGGTCTGTAGGGGGCGTGCATAAGCGCACCATCGTGCCTACCGTCCCTGTCCTATTGTTTCTCTTATTCTTTTATTTTTCTTATATGTACCCATTTCATATATTAACAACTATGTATACACTTGTACTTATTATCTTGTAAACAATTGACAAATCAAATAAATAAATAAAATAAATATTTCAGTATTGACATGTGCAGATATCCCTAATATTGTTTTATGTTTTGAAGAACATTTCTAAGCGCACCTTGGGGAAAATCTTACTGAACACTTTGGAATCCTGCTGTGACTCCCAACATGGTAAGAAAGTAACCTTTGGTACTCAACCTCATGGTTTGGCTGGCAAGATCACGGGTTATCAGGAAACTTATCCAGATGGAAGAGAATCAGCTCTAATATATTAGATATTTTGTTGCTCAGAAATGGTTGATCAAAGATAGTTCGGTAGTAGATACTTAATGATCTTAAAAATTTAGAGATAGAGACAGAAAGAGAGGGAGGGAGGGAGGGAAAGAGAACTTCTTGACATCTGATTCATCCTAAGCTAAGAAGGGATTTCAGTGAGTCCAGGCATAGATCCAAAAAGAGCACTCACTCCTTTGAACCCAGATTATAATTCTCTGATGTGGCAAGAAAATGGCTGAGAAAAAACAACTCTACAAGAGGAATGAATAGCTGGTGATATGGTGATGGTTTGGGGATAGTGTATCAAAACCTCTAATGCTACTTTCATCCAGATCAGGGGTGTCAAACTCACGTCATTACAGCAGCATCACGTGACATATTGGGACTTTTTTCCCCTTCGCTAAACCGGGCATGGGAGTGGCCAACGCATGATGCGTCTGGCCCATGGGCCGGGAATTTGACATTCCTGGTCTAGATGGAGGGGTGGGCAGGCATTTTGTAATTTATTTAGTTGGTAAAAGAGAAATGAAAGATAATTTAATTTTTTAAAAAATATTGCTTAAGTTTGAAAGAAGTAAAAATGTTATTGAAATTTTGAACTTGAAATAATGTTCCAACTTTGGAATTTCTTGAACATATATGGAGGTTAACATATCATTCTGTAGGTAAATGGAGACATTGAGTGTCAAATTGTACCTGATTAGTAACATAAATCTATTCCTAACTGTCCTAGTAGCCTGATCCAGCACAGAGCCTTATGATGGCAATTTACATTGGTAGAATAAGTTTCTTTATCCCAACTTCTTTTTCTTGGTGACTTTGTATAGGATTACAGGAAGGCAGAATGTATGCCCTCCGGCCCAGCTTTTCTTCAAATATTTATTCAGCAACCTTAGATTTCCCTTTTTTTTTTTGCCTCAATGAAAAGAAAGAAGAAAACAGAAGACAGTGTTGTCCTTTAACAAAGAAAGTAGGTCAGATCTTCAATATAACAACCATTCATCTTTATACAATACACACATTTCTTGAATTCTCTCTTCTCCCCAGGCAGTAGTCCACTGTGCAGATCCCATTGTTATGAGATTTTCAGGCTCCAAAGGTTGTTTGATGGTTTTGTTCTTTGGAGTGAAGTTTGGTATGTGCTTTCTTTTGTTAACCTAGGAGCACAGTGCTCCAGATTCTTCTTGCAACTCCTAACAAAATTACATTTATTTCAGTATGAAGCAATTATATAGTTCGATGATAGATAGATAGATAGATAGATAGATAGATAGATAGATAGATAGAGATAGAGAGATAGAGAGAGAGAGAGAGAGAGAGAGAGAGAGAGAGAGAGAGAGAGAGATCTAGATCGATTGATTGATCGATCTATATAGAGAAAGGGGGGAGAGAAATAGGAATCTTTGATTCTACTTTGATCCTATGTACACTGCAATTCCACTGAATTTAAGGGGAGCCACCAAAAATAGGATGGGAAATAAAGATCATGGCAATTTTTAGCCTAAGAGATTAAATTATTTGTAATAATGAGATAATTATTTCTATTTCTTACATGTGTAGCATTCAACGGCATGAGTAGTAGTCCACAAAATAGTAACATTTTTCTAAAATGTAAATCTGCTTTGAGAATATAAAAGAAAATGTTAAACCATAAATTACGGATTTCCCTTATTGAATGAAAATACAGTTAGTTGCTTGAATCTATTAGTGAGAAATACCAGCAGTTCTCGAGTTGCAACCATTTGTTTAGTGACTGAAGTTGCAACAGCACTAAAACCCCATGATTACGTGATCAAAATTTGGGTGCTTCAAATCAAATCAAACGTTTATCAATAATGCACAACATGTGTACATTGAAATTGAAATGAGCCACCCTTGGCCCCACAAGTCTATCATATTGAACCTAATGTGGTGTTATGTTGTGTTCAGAAGTCTGACAGCCCATGGATAAAAGCTATTTTTCAGCCTATTTGTTTGTCCAATGGTAGGAGAGTAAAGAAGTGCTGACCAGGATGTGAAACATCCTTGATAACTGACATGTATTTATGATGGTTGTAGCATCCCAGGGTCATGTGACCATCATTTGCAAAGTTCCCAACTGGCTTCCGACAGGCAATGGGGAAAGCCAGATTTGCTTAACAACTGTGTGTTTCACTTAACAACTATGGTGATTTGCATAATGACCACAGCAAAAAAGACTGTAAGCTTGGATGCGATGCATTTAACCTCTGTATCGCTTAGCAACAGAATTTCTGCAGCCAATTGTGGTCGCACATTGAGGACTACCTGTACCATTTCCTTAGGTACAGATAGTCCTCAACTTACAACTACAATTGAGCCCAAAATTTATGTTGCTAAGTGAGACGTTTGATAAGTGAGTTTTGCCCCATTTTATGACTTTTCTTGCCACAGTTGTTAAGCGAATCACTGCAGTTGTTAAATTAGTAACCCAGTCGTTAAGTGAATCTGGCTTCCCCATTGACTTTGCTTGTTAGAAGGTTGCAAAAGGTGATCACATGACCCTGGGACACTGCAACCATCATAAATGTGAGTCAGTTGTAAAGCATCTGAATGTAAATCACGTGACCATGGGGGTGCTGCAACAGTCATAAGTGTGAAAAATGTTCATAAGTCACTTTTTTCAGCCTTTGAATGGTCACTAAACGAACTTTTGTAAGTCAAGGACTACCTGCATTTGAAAAATTAAATGACTATGCTCTAATGTTCCTCCTAACACATGCTTACGTTACATGTTTATATGAGATTTAAAAATATTTGTTCCTTCGGGACTTCTTGATCAAGTATGAAAATATAGTATGTTTTAAAGGAATTGATTTTGTATGCTTATTTGCATATTAATCTCATATTTTTATGTAATATGTTGCATATTGACCTCATTTTTTTATCATTTGGAATTTTATTTTCTAAAGTGGCAGTTAAATTTTACAGCCTGGGAACAATCATATTCATTTATATGTAATTTTCCTGTCTGCCTTTTCATAAAAAAATCATGCTAGTGGGGAGGAAAAATGCCCATTCTTAGTAGCATCCTTTGTAACTGTGCTTTGAACTAGAAATTAATGAAGGGATATATATTGCTCCCAGGCCTGTCCTTTTTCGCTATTGTCTCATCCCGAGCTTAAAGTGCTGTTCCATTGATATTTGTGTGGTACGCTTCTTCATTTGATTTTTCAATCAGAATTACTTACGTCTCAAAATGTGTAGAAGCTGAGCTCAGAAGCAGGGCTGCCTGCTAACCATTTGTATACTGCACAAGGGTGCTGCATAAAGGGGAAAGTGCCAATTGCAAGGTAAAAAATGTTTTTAATCAGCTGCTGGAATTTTTTAAAAATGTTTTTAACATTGGATGACGGTGCAAACTTTGTGCACATGGACTCCCTATACTCCAGTAGTTCCCTGCTCACAAGCTTTTTCCTGAAGGCTGCTTTTCTTTTCGTGCATTTTTACTCACTACTGCATGAAGGCCTTCCTGAAATGTTCATAAAATGTTGCCTGTTTGGCAGAACAAAACTGTGGCTACCATAGATTATCAGTGCGGTAGAATCCAAATATGATTTGAGGTATAAGGTTATTTTTATATCTGCATTCCAACACATTCTGTTCTGCTTTACAAGGACAAATACTTCCAAACGTTTTCCATTCTCTTTTCAAAGATAAGTGAATCTTAATCACCCCAATGTTTCTAAGGCAGAGCAACATGCAAGATAAAGGGGTTGTTACTTCACTGGGGATTACTTTGATCTGAAACAAAATATAGAACAGTGGTTCTTAAACTGTTTGATTCAATTACCTCTTCTTTGGGTCTCAAATACTGTCATTACCCCCCAAAAAACCACAACAGTCTTAATAGCTGCAGTGTTAAAATGGATCCTTGATCATACGCAAGCAATTGCAAATCACACTGTTACCTCCAGGATATACCCAAATTACTGCTTTGGGTAACAATATGGGCAGCATATACATTTAATAAACAAATATATAAATAAATAAATAAAGTTATCCCCAGTTTAAAAACCACATTGTCTTCCTTACAAGTAGATTATCACCTCTCATAAGTAGGATACGAACAGTCCTATGCTCCTGTTGCCATACTCCAAAGCATGTTGCTTCTGATACATATGGTTCTTCATCTTCTTCTCCTTCTCCTTCTTTAAGCTTTGGCGCACACTCATAGAGTTGCAGTTGCATAATTTTGATTTTGTTAATTTAAACGGGTTTTTTTTTCTCTTTATCTTAAAGGAAAACCACCTATTGTTGAAGTCTTGGATGCTCTCTACCATGAACTGGCTGCCTGCAAACTCACCGGAAGCAGGTCTCTTGAGAAAACACCAGGACATCAGTCTTTGTCAAGCTCTTTGGTTATCTCCTGTTGAGCAATAATGCCTCTATGTTTTTTTAATATATATATTTTTTGTGAATATCACCATGGGGTTAAAATTTGCAATGCAAAATCATGGAGGGTTATGCCATCTATGTAATGGTCTCTAATGCAAGAGATGGAATGATAAAATAAATGACATAAAGAGATAGGCAAATGGAACAGAAAGTCCAGGATTATCTATAAGGACTGGCAATGGGTCTTGAATAGCTTTTGAAGGGTAGATCTTTCCTCCTTTCTTATGGGCCTTTATACAATTGGATATATGATTTGAGGTTTGAGAACAAGTACAGCATATATCCGAAACCTGAAATTATGTTCAATATTTCCAAAGTCCCCCAAACTCTCATTTAAAGTACAAATAAATTTTATCAAATAGTTATTCCTCATAGCATTGTCATCTAAAATCTCTATTTTACCGGTATCATTAATACACTACAAATTAAACTGTACTTTAATGACCTTAATTGGGACCTATTGTCTCTATCACTAAGAAAAAAACACATAAACAATTTGCTTATGGTTATTAAGCAAATGGTCATTGAGTAAGATATTATGTGAATGTGACTTTTGACTTCCTGCCAGCTTCCCCATTGGCTTTGCTTGTTAAAGCCAGCTGGGAAGGTAGCAAATGGTAATCACATGATTACAGGTATGCTGAAATAATTATACATTCAAGAACCAGTCATAAGTCAATTTTTAAGCACTATCATAACTTCCGACCGTTGCTAAACAGATACTTGTTAAGCAAGGACTGGATATAATTTATCATGCACAAAATAATGTAGTACTCTTATTGTCCTCTAGAACTTTACTTTTCTGAATATAGCAAAGAATATTAATTTACATTTTTAGATACTATTCCAGTACAGTTCTTTGCCTTTTCTTGAGGGTTTCCTTGGTGACCCAATGCTAGGCATGAAGAAAATAAAATTAAAAAGTACCTAGAAGGATTATACATTAAAGGAGGAATAAAGGTGACCTGAAGTCTGGCAGAATTATTGTAAACTATCAGTTCTGGACTGCAACATTTAGACAATGGCACCAAAAAGATTACATATATACAGCAATTGTAGCACTTTGGAATCCTAACAACTTTCCACTGCACTTAGCTGCAAAATGGAATCAGGAAAACAAGGAACAGGGTGCTTTGGGCAAGGGTGTCAAAGAAGCAGATTGTAATTCTTTCACACACAAGAATCTACTCTTTGTTTTGTTTTCCGTTTGGACTGAGAGCTACCTTAGTTATGGTATGAAGAGAGAAACACTGTTCATCTACCACAAACCATTTGCATCCATCTCTGTCAGTACCTCCTGTTCTTCCATCTGTCCATTCTTGCCTTACAGCAATCTGTAAAATAGTTATAGGTTGTTATCACTGCATGTACTTGGAGGAACTATGTGTATTAAAATAATATGGCTGAATGAAGTATGTATGGCTACTTGTAAACATAGTTTATTTGATTCTAGAATTATGTCTGCATTTTTTTACTGGAAATTTACAGATGTAGTATGTCTTGGTAAGACCTTTTAACTATTATCTTCAACCCTAGTTAAAATGTAGGCAGTTGTGCTATGATTCTTTGATTCTTTTAAAATTATGCCAGTTCAGGGGGAAAGGGGTGGGGTGGGGGGCTAATAGGAGCCAGATGGAATCACAGGAAGTATCTGATTATATATTTAAGGGTATATAAAGTACTTGGATTATTTAAATTGCATTCCTTCCCATTATGAATCTAAAGAGCTGTGGTGGCGCAATGGTTAGAATGCAGTACTGCAGGCTACTTCTGCTGACTGCCGGCTGACTGCAGTTTGGCAGTTCGAATCTCACCCGGCTCAAGGTTGACTCAGCCTTCCGTCCTTCCAATGTCAGTAAAACGTGGACCCAGATTATTGGGGGCAATAGGCTGACTCTGTCAACTGCTTAGAGAGGGCTGTAAAGCACTGTGAAGCGGTATATAAGTCTAACTGCTATTGCTATTGCTATTATCTACTTTTGTAAAGTAGCCTGGTCTATGTCCTGGCCTAAGTTTTCAGGCAGCTCAGAGCAGACACTAGCTCTAAGTCAAATCATTCTTCCCTGTGCAGTTTCATTGATTTTTCAAGGATTCTAGATCCTTGATATTAATCAAGGTGCTATCAGCTGCCTCCTGATTTTTTTAGTTCATGAGAAATCTACTTTAAAACATAATTTCTGCTGCAAAAGTTCAGGTGATTGGTGGCAACCAGATGTAGGAGAGAGGCCAGTGAACCTGGTGCATGCTTCCCTTGGCCTGTTATATACTCAGAATTTATGAAAATGGCTTATCTCCAAAACACATGACAGGTGACTCAATTCACTATTCATAACTGAATGCTTGATTATTTCAATACAAAACTATTGATCTGATTTGAAGATCATGCTGCCCCATGGCTTAACCATGATACTAACTTGGCTGAGTTTGATCGGTGTACTATCCTTAGACAACTTTCAGTGGCTGAATCACAATTGCACAACTCAAACCAACATTACAGTTTAGCACTCCTTGACTTTTTTCCCTCTTCCAGGTAACCCTGCCAATCATTGGATAGCGATGTGGCTTATAAGACATGTGCCAGATATATATTTTCCATCTCCCTGTTCTCTTCCTTATTTTTATTCTGTATATTTAACCATCTTCCTTCATGACTTGTTTCTGGGAATTCCATTGTGTGCTACAATATATAAATTTTCAGACAGACTAATAAAGATATTCTTTCAATATGGGTTTGGATATTTTTTTTTCATGGCTAACATAACTATTATTTAGCTTTTCACCATCCTTTAATTTATATCTTAAGGCAAGATATTTCAAAGCACCGTTTGGTTAAAACAGTATTGCAGCCTTAAGCATGCTTACTTAGAGATTGAGTTTCTTTAAAACGTTGGAATAAATGATTACATTTTCAAGATAGCTGGGTCTTCGTGTGTGTCTTCATGTGTTTTTTTTTGTGACATTATTCTCTATTTAATAGGCTCAGAGGGAAAGTACTAGAGCTGTTCTGATAAATGCTACTGATGCTAATAATCAAAAGACATTGTGCATCTGTTCCACCTTCTCTATTGATTTTTTTTTTAGTATGAAAAAAGAGGAATGCATTCGAAAAACATGGGAGATGTCAACATCTGGACCACCCATAGAATTTTATGAATGAAAAAAACATGATTTGCACAGTGAAAGCCTTCTTTGGAAACATTTTGGATATGTCTAGTACTTTGTTTTGCTCTCAGCTCATGGTTTAAAATGCAAATGCTGTTTTGTAGTGGGAGAATGCCATAGCCATTAGCTTGGTAACATGTTTCTCGTTTGCTTGTTGCACTGTGTGGGAAATTGGGCTACAGTCCTTGCAGAAATTGTCGATCAGCTGGGACTCGGGAGGCAGAAATAGATGGGGGCGGGGCCAGTCAGAGGTGGGATTTGACGGTTCTCTGAACTACTCAAAATTTGCGCTACCATTTCTCCAGAAGTGGTCAGAATCTGCTGAATACCACCTCTGGGAGGGAGGGAGGAAGAGAGAGAATTCATTTTGTCTATCCTGCTGCATGTAATCTCTGTACCTAAACTATCTAGGATGTTTACAGATATAGAGCTGGAATTTCTCATATTAGTAATTCTCAGGAGTTCCAATCTCTTGGAGTGTCCATGTGAAAGGAAAAGATTCATGCCTCTCATAGGGCTGCTGAAATGATTACTGCTCATATTTTTGTAGCAGGAAACACTTGTCTTTTGCTCAGGACCAGAAAATGAGGGTGATAATCAGAGTATTAAGAATGTGGTCTCTTTTTTATTGACAGATCACTAATCATTTTTTATACTCACTAGAATTTCTCTGCAGTGGTAGCAGGGCCTAGCTGAATGAATCTCTCTCTGTGTGTGTGTGTGTTGTGACTTCAAAACAGTCTGAGGCAGGGAAATGATCCAGACAGTAGATAGAATGGCTTCTGAAGATCTAAAGGAAACAGCTGAGACCACTGTTCAGGAAGCTCAGGACAACGGAACAGCAGGGTTGGCAGCTAGCACGATGATGGAGGAAGTCTTGGAATAAAGACTAGCACAGGCTAGAATCTACAGAATAACAAGAGTTGGAAGGGACCTTGAAGGTCTTCTAGTTCAACTCCCTGCTCAGACAGGAAACCCTATACCATTTCAGACAAATGGTTGTCCAATCTCTTCTTAAAAACTTCCAATGTTGGAGCATTCACAACTCTAGAGGCAAGTTGTTCCTCTGATTAAAGTCTACCGTATGTGAAGGTCTCTTGCACAACTTTGAGGAGAGCAAAGAAAATGCATTTGCATCTGAAAATAAGTTGATCCCACTCTTCTTTGTGGAAGCCCTTCAAATACTGAAATACTGCTATCATGTCCCCCCAGTCCTTCCTTTCTCTAGACTAGCCAAACCCAATTCGTGCAACTATCCTTAATGTGAACCTGCAGAGTTCTCTTTGGTTAGGCTTTATGATTTATGTCTTGATGTGCTCCTTAAAAGTATTTTGCTAAAGTCATTCCTTAGGAGTAATTTTAGTTATGACACTGCTTGCTCAAATGAGAAAAAAACCAGGACTGGCTCCTATTCTAACATACTTTTCATAATGACATGCTGTGAGGAAAATGGGCCACTTAGGGAGTTTCTTATTGCCTTCCCCCTCCCCAACCTAATAGACATGTGCTCCCTCATATGGCAGGTGATCCTGTTGGTCTCCAGGAGGAAGACAGAAAAGCTCTTAGAAAACAGCAACAGAGCACAAAAATAACAATGTCATACCACCTGCTTGTTCCTTTCTTCCTTTTTAGGCTCTCTGGGGTGGTTCCCATGGCCTCTCTGAGGAGAAAGGGATTCCAAAACATTGATAGAAAGAACAGCATGTGAGATAGTCACACTTCATGGTGCTGCTTCACTTCCCTGCTTGACAGCTGATTTTAGCACTTAGCATTTAGACTTATATAAAACTTCATACTGCTTTAGAGGCCTCTCTAA